CCCCCCCCCCCCCCCCCCGCCCCAGCCCACTACATTTCTTTGCTGGAAATGCTTCGAATTCGGACGAAAATGATACATTTTAGTGACGCAAATTCCTAATGACATAGAGTTTATATCGGAACTTATTTTTAGACGGAACTCTACCACAGAAGGTCTCCGATAAAAGTAATGTGTAGTCGTTTTTTTTACTTTGTAATTTAAGACGTTAAAACCACCAAGTCTAAACCTGCAAGATAAATACAATTCGTTTAACACGATCCTGTATTGCTTTTGAAACTGACCTAATCTTATCAGGGGTGGCTGAGGTATCCGGATGGGTCTCGAGTAACCAGAGATATCGTGATGACAGTGTTGTCAGCTGTGGACAGCATTTTAGTCCGAGCGACTTACAGTACCACCACAACAAAAGCCAGGTCAGGGTTCACTCACTGTTCAATATATTCTTTATTTACACCAGATGCACTGATGGTCCCCAGCAACTATTGATTACTAGATTCTCTGTTCCTCCGGTTAAATATCTAAAAAGTCGGGTGACTAGAATTTTTATAAGACAACTCGAGAGGTACGGGAACATGTAAAGGCGTTTCTAAGGTCCAAATGTTAGATTTCTGCTGTTGGAACAGTTATTGAAAATATTCAGCCTCAATACTGAAACTTGGACTGAAAAACAAGTTTTAATTTCCAGTGACTCACTATTCTATATCCACCAACCCCTTCAGTTTCATATTGCATGAAAGTCTGGATCTGCCATCCTTTTTAACTGTTTAAGACCACAGTATGAAATTCCCCTCCATTCTATTAGAAAACCAAAGAAGCTAGATTGATCCGTGTACTACTCGTTTTCATGTAAAGATCCTGTGTTAGACGATGTAAAAACAAAGTTGTTGATAAGAATCCAGAGTCCCCGATAGTCTGGATACGGGTGTATGATCTCCCACATACCAGTCGGACACTCCAATCACTGAGCTACATTTGGGTTATTGACCAAGCGTGAGGTCAAGATGGCTGGATATTGGCCAAGTTTTTTCTTTGTGAGTTTATGGTACGAGACAGAATCGAGGACTATAAACTCGTAAAAAAGAACGAGGCCAATATCCAGCGGTTTTGACCAGACAAGCTTGGTCAAAAAGGATTTATAGGCTTTTGGGGAATTTTTTCTTGTGGGACACAACTGGTAGTTTCGAGGGGGCAAGATAGCGCCAATCTTGTCCGCCCGGGTAGCCAATCACAGCGCAGGATTTGGTTTATCTTGCCGTCTCACGAAGCTAGCCATATAAGAAAGGGTTTTTACGCCTCATCACAAGATCGACTCTTTACCATTACTTCCCCGAGCTTTTCAGTTACTTTCATTTCAACAAAGCTGTAACTATTGCTCCTTAGCCTTTATGCTGTTAGTCTGGAAACCGGTGTACCCCAAGAAACCAGGTTTGGAAAAGCCGAAAAGATCGAAGATTGCGCATGCCCACCAGAGTACTCTGGAACATCTTGTCAGGTGAGAAAAGAAACGAAAACTGAACGTTTGTTTTTCTGTTGAAATTTGAATATCGTGCATTGCGGTGGCCATAGGAAAGGTTAAGCTAATTCTAAGCACACTAGGAGCAAGAACTTAATTTAATTTGGTTTGCCAATGCTAAACTACTTAGAGCAGTTTTCAATTGAGTGTCGTAAAACCAAAACCAAAGTAATCACTGTAGCCAATCACAAATGACACAGACAATAAAATGAACCAATCAAAACTCGAAGTAATTACATGTAGCTAACAAGAAGCTAACAAGAAGTGCGGGAAAACGCTTTCGAGCAAGTCACGGTTGGTTTTAATTTTACTTCTGATTGGTTGAAAAAGTGACGCGAGTTTTCTAAGCCAATCGTGTAGCGTAGTTGATGTAAAACCAGTTACTTTGAGACACTCAAATGAAAACCGCTCTATACCAGAACAGTTCTATATAGTAAACAGATCAGAAAGGAATGCCTGGAAATGTGTCTTTTTCTTCCCCTGTATTTAATTCATTGTCTATCTTACTCGTCAAAACAACTGAATAAAGTTTGCTTATTTCTACGCCTCTGCGTGTAAGATAAATAAGAAATGCCGTCTTACCAAGTTATGGATGAACGTGGGAAGCTTGGAGAACCTTTAACAGACTAAAGCCCTTCTCTACAACACCTCTTGCTTTTCGAAAGTTCTTCCAACGTCCCGCACCGTATTCATCTATAACTCAGTGAGAGGACTCCAGTTTCTTTCTTTGTTTTATTTTTCAGCGTTGTGGCAGTGGATACACACGCTCGTACGCAGGCCCCGATTTCTCTCCTTGCATAGCATGCTCGTGTAATCAACATTCGAAAGAATGTGATCCAGAAAGAGGACAATGTCGAGTAAGTATGTGTAATATTTTAAGTGGATCGACTATACCTGCTTCTGCATGTCTTATCACTAATGTGATAGCGCATAACATCCTGAAAGGAATTTTATTCGATTCATGGCAGGTAACAGTTGCATATGTGTTCCATGGACTTTCATTTGATTCAAAATTCAAAACCCACTGCGAAATAAAGTGCTCCAAAATTGAATTTGAGAATTAAACACTTTATTGTAGAATAACGCGGCGAAATGTTAAGTCAACACCTAACCCCATTCAACCTCTTATATCATCAAACAGCTGAGAGTCTGTAGTCTTTGTACTTTTTCTTGTTCCGAGTCGTTTCTTATAAAACATTATGACACCCGAGTGATGACGGAAAGAAGACAAGTCGATCAGGCCTTTAAATGCCTAGTCACGGTGATAGGTGGGCATAACATTGGAGGTTGATGCTCTCTCTTCTGTCAATTTTTTTTACAGGGAATTAATGCTTGTAATCGCGATTTTTTTCAGAGATGTGATCACAATACTACAGGTTCCCAGTGTGAAAGGTGTGCAGTTGGTTTTTATGGCGATGCCACACAAGGAACTCCTAAAGATTGTCAGCCATGTCCATGTCCTCTAACTATACCCTCAAACCAGTGAGTAACACAGTGACAGCGCATCGAAATTATCAATATTATCACTGCTTTCAATATCTAAAACTGATCAGTTCTTTTTGTATATAAACAGGTTCAGCCGGATCTGTAAGGTTGAGTCGGATGGTAAACCAACTTGCACTGCCTGCCAAACCGGTTATTCTGGTAGGACATGTAACAGGTAAAGCAGCCCTTTGACTCCACGAAAGCAAAGAAAAATACGTAGACAGAATGAATTCCGTTGTTACCAGATCAACGAGCAAACTCCAGTTTGAACTAGAACTTTTAATAGCAGACAAAGTAAGAGATTAGAACCTTCCTTCCAGCCAATAATCCACCTTAGCTAGCTGGATGGGTTGGTTAACCTGTTATGCTCTGGATATGGTTTCCGAGTATCTTGTTAAGGACATTTTAAACTTTTTTACTTAAAGTTTATCATTTTGAGGAGTAAACCTTTCTTTCATGACCGCCATTTCTTTCCTTTCCTACGCTAGTCAGTCAGTCAGTTAATTAATCAGTCAGTCAGTCAGTTAATTAGTCCGATTTTCGTTTTTGTCTTTTGTCTTTTAAAAAAATATTTTCTTACTATTATTACACGGCTTTTTAGATGTGCAAAAGGATACGCGGGAGATCCAACAAAACCGGGCCAAAAGTGTGTAAAACTTCCAGGTAAAATATCCATACAGTGAGAATGCAATTCAACAGAGCTTTCTGCTGAAACATTTTTTAGTAACATAACTTTGCCGTCAATCCGTCTGGAATTGCCCTTGCTCGTGTTGTGATTGGACAATAAGAATGCAAAACGTTTATACTGTTTCTACGAAGATCACAAGTGGTACTTGCCTCCTAATTGACTCATGTTCTTGCTGAAGAAACATCGACGAGGGAATGGGAACTAACCGTAAAGAGTTCAACGGGAAGATGAAAGAATTAGTTTTCCCATCAGGGTAGTCGTGATTTCTCGACTCCTAAAGCCCTAACAATCCCTTCGAGTGATAACAAAAAGTAGAAAAAAGTACAAAAAGTAAGATAAGAGAGTTCAAGAAAAAAGACTGACTTCAAGTTCTTTTGAATTTTTATATCACCTACTTTGGAGAAGAAACGCTTCCACCGGGGCAAAATCTTATGAAGACCCCTTTCATAAATTCAGTCATATACATAACACACATTATGCAATGTAAATAAAAGCTTTGTTTATGCGGAGCAAAATGTTGCTCTAATTACTTATCTTAATAACACTTTTCTACATTCTGTGTGACTACGGTCGACAAAATTCTGGGGGTTTTTCCAAACTTTTATGCCAGCATCTTTAAACCTTAGCTTAGATTGACATTTCGTTTACTTCTTAGCGGGATTTATGCCAACTGTAAAAATCAGGCCAATGAAAAGAATAAAGACAGAGAGAGAAGACGCCACGTTCTATTGCTTTGCCGGCGGAAAAGGATTACCAAGAACCACATGGTCTCGACAGAATGGAAAACCGCTGTCCAGTAGGGCGGTCGTTTCTGGGAAAGTCTTACTCATAAGGAGAGTGAGAAAGGAAGATGAAGGAACCTATGAGTGCACTGCTAGAAGCGTCTACGGCTTTGACACAGCTACATCACAGTTGATTGTAAAAGGTTAGAGACGTGAAACATATTTTCACTAACAATTTCATCTATTTTAAAGGTAGAATCTTCAGCTAAACCTAGCGCATGCGCATCACTTGTACTCATCCATTTCCCACTTCAGCGTGGAATGGGGTCTTCAAGGAAGCAGAACTTCAATTTCAATAAGACACTCGTCTCTGTCTACAGCTAATGAACTTTTCTTAGCTTACTCCACCTCGTCCCAGCTGAAGTAGATGACCCCAGGAGCCTAACTGAATTTCCGTGTATGGATAAGACATTTGACGACAAGATGAGAGTTGCCAAGTTATAGAGATTTGATACGTTTCCTTTATCCACTTGGCAGAAACCATTGTTGCACATTAACTGTTAAAAGAAGTTGCCCGACTGATAGACAGGAGATTTATTCCGTTTCTTGCATTAATTGTCCTTATTAACTTATGCGTACTTTTGGCTCCAAAAATTTAGGAAATAGGGTCTTGTTGTTTAACGGAGTGTATCTTGTGTCTTTTAAATAGCTCTGCGTGTTGATCCCATCACCGTGTCAGTGTCGCCAAAAGTGCTTCGCGTTCCTTTGAACCAAACAGCTCAGTTCACGTGCAGAGCCAAGAGTACCACCGATTACCAACTGAAATGGACCCGTGGTATGTATGGCGCTCTTCCTGAAGGTGCTGAGAGTGAGAACGGTGTGCTCACGATTAAAAACACCCGGTCTATCCATGGAGGGACATACACATGTACTGGTAAAAACGCCTTTAACGAAGACATGGTGACCGTACAGCTAAGAGTTGGAGGTGAGAAAGCACCATAAAACTTGGTTAAATGTTTCCTCTCAAATGTAGTGCCGACGATACTAACCATTTGCTGTTTTTCTTAGTAACAAGGCCCCAGGTCTTCATAAGTCCTGCCAGCTTGAGTGTCCGAGAGGGAGATTCGGCCCAATTTCGTTGCTCGGCTTCTGGTTTTCCCGCACCAGTACTCCAGTGGCACGGTGGTCCTGGCGGTCGACTGCCACCAGAGGCTCAGTCTTCCAACGGGAACGGACTGCTGACGTTTGATCCGGTGAAAAAGATACACGAAGGAGAATACTTCTGTACTGCCTCCAACCTGGGTGGTATATCCAGCACGGGAACCTTTTTGAATGTCTCTGGTATGACGGTCACCGCGTTTCTTTTCATAAAAAATTAATTGCACAATGTCCTACGGAAAGCGGAAAAAAGTCAGTTTACCCAGGAATCTACTTACGTTTCTTTACAAAATCCATACGAAAAATATAAAATTCATAATCACCTGACCAACGTGAAACATACAACCCTGTATAATGATACAGCAAAATGAAAGAGTTTTCTATTTGCTGCTAAACTAAATGCGATGTTTAATTACCACTGTTACGAGAAAGACATTCTTAAGTCACAGTAACGAACCTAGAGCCGGAAGTTATAGTGAATTCATCAGTTCGAAGATTTCTTAGCCATTAGTAACAAACGAGTGACTCTATTTTGTTCTCGTCCTAATGGCTTCAGAGGAACATTTACTGCATTGCAATGATTCCGTTTTGCCGCAATGCATTCGTTTTATTAACCATTTCTTGCTACTCTATCATTCTGGCTTCAACAGCCTTTCCGCTCTTGATGTTTTCCCTCTTATTTCATCTTTCTCGTAGCTCCTGGTAGTGCACCTGTTATCTCCGTCACACCCATCACACTCACGGTCTTAGAAGGTGACCAGGCCTTGTTCGAGTGCACTGCAGAAGGGGACCCGACTCCAACTATTCGCTGGTCACGTCAGAACGGTCGGCTGCCTCCGTTTTCTTCTTCAGAGAATGGTTTACTGAGTATTTTCCCTACAAACCTTGAGGACGGCGGTGCTTATGTTTGCACAGCTGCTAATGCAATCGGAGCCGATGGTGTCTTAGTCACTCTCACTGTCGAAAGAGGTATAGTGAAAAAACCACTATGGAACCCAACAATTTCCCACTCCAGAGCATTTTTCATTCTTTTTGATATGGACAATACTCGGTCAATCGTAATCCAAGTTATTATGGTACGTGGAAGGGGAAAAGCAGTCAAACCTCGATAAATTCCATGTGTGGGTGGTTTCTGTGTACTGCCTAAAAGTTGGAAAACCCACAAGTAATAATATATTATGTTGTGTTACAATATAACCTCACCCAAGAGGAATTGTCTGAGTGCAATGTTTAGTTCGATAGGAATGAAAAAAAGAACGTCTCTTTCGGTGTTGTCACTGGCCAATGACAAATCAAATCTTGTATGAACCTAATGAGAAGTAAAACGTTCCACGAGAAGGTACTTTGACTGGCTAGTATACTGATGACACTCGGCTTCTATCTTGTTTTCCCTCAGACACCTCAGTACCTCCAACTGCGGTCATATCACCAGCAAACCAAACTGTCGACGAAGGCGCCTCGGTATTTCTTACGTGCCAGGTCTCGGGCGATCCTTACCCCTCCATAGAGTGGAAAAAGGTTGGTGATGAGTTAACAGACAATCACGTGATTATCGAGGGATTGTTGCAAATCCAGGAAGCGACGAAAGAGGACGAAGGAATGTATGTGTGTATCGCACAAAACAAGAAAGGAGTCAAGCAAGCAACAAGCATTGTAATTGTCAGAAGTGAGTGATGACGAGAAAGAAATCTAAAGCTTGAGAAAAGGATCCTTGCACAGTTAAAGGGACACTATCAAGGCGATATTGCTGCAATTTTGATCAAAACATTACTGAAAATATAAGTACCTTCATTTGTACACAAAATGCTCCCAGAATACCAAAATGAAGATGTTAACAGAATCGTCAAAGGTAGAGAGGACTGTAATTAGGTTATAGTGATTTTTCTAAGGCAGGATGGCAGAGTGTGACAACGTGTAAAAACAGTATGGTCAAGAAAGCAGCAAATAAATCGCGATTTTTTTAAATATCATGATGTTTTATTAATTTGTAAAACATATCTCGCTGTGAGTCACATCTTCGTCAGTTGTAAAAGGTGTTCGAAAACCGTTTGATATTGTAACGACCCAGAGACGCATGCATAATTAACTACAAATACTAACATAAAATTAAAAACAAAGAAAGAAGGCGTGAATATCAACAACAATACCTGCAGGGTAAGTGTCAAATTTACGTGATGGACCCTTTGATTTAAACTGAGCTTTTCCCAGTTGATGTACATAGCTTCCTTGAGTTTGAGTTGAAATTTCGTGGAGACAGAATCAAGGATTACAAAGCAATCTGTAGAACAAGAGTCGCGACAAGGTTTCGAGCTAAGAACAATGTAAGAACATTTATTACAACTCTTTTAGGTCAGGTGATGCCAAAGATAGAAATCATGCCTGCAAAAAAGCTAACAGTGACTGGAGGGGACACTGTTGTTTTCCGTTGCGTAGTCAAGGCTGGTAATCCACCGCCTGCGGTGGTCTGGGAAACAGAGGAGAATAAGCCGCTAAACAGCAGTAACGATGGCGTTTTGGTGATTTCGCCAGCCTCGGGAGATAGCCAGGGGAAGTACATCTGCAAGGCAACAAACGTCATGGGATCCACTGAGGCTGTCGCTCTTCTTATCGTTCAAGGTAGTCAATGTTCCCTAAATCGATTATCCACCGTACACAGGAACGCTAAAGGCGGGCAATACTGTATATAGCAAGCGCTTAATTGCATTATTATATGGCTACTAGGTCCGTGAGCGGGCAAGATGAACTAAATCCTGCGCTGTGATTGGCTACCCGAGCTGGCAAGATGGGGCTATTTTGCCCGCTCGGGACTACAAGCTGTGTCCCGCAAGAAAAATGTCTCAGAAAGCCTTATCAGAAATCCTTTACTGACTAGGCTTGTTCGGTCAAGATAGCTGGGTATTGGCCTCGTTCCTTTTTTTTTGCTGGTTTATGGACCTTGGTTTACTGTTGTGAAATCAAAGCTGATAATCCAGCGCCTGCGATGATCTAGGAAACAGAGGAAAATAAACCGCAAAAAGATAACTTGGCCAATATCCAGCCAGCCGTCTTGACCGAACAAGCTGGCCAATATCCAGCCATCTTGACCGTACAGGCTGGTCAATAACCCATATAAAGGTCTGTTAAAGCTTGCTTATTTATCAATCTGGCAGGATTTTGTCAGTCTTTGCCTGACTAAGTTCGTTGCTAAAAATATCTTGAAGAATGGCTGAAGGTTTCGTAACCGTTTAATTCCAAAAGGGTTAAAAAGAGTCAAAGGCGTTTTCTTGGTTTACCGCAAATTCTGAGCACGAACCGCGAGTCAAAAGGTTAATTGATGATAATTTTCATGTTAATTAATAGGGTATATTGTATAATACGTCAATGGTCTGAGACTTAGGTGTCTTCTTAGGCATAAACCAACATTTCATGTAGTATCTGAGGTCAAAAGGGATGAACTATCCACATCTATTTCGCAGGTGAACCCAACATCATAGTTAGTCCCTCCAGTCCCGTGTCTGCAACAGCTGGTAGAACGGTGATTCTGGAATGTGCTGCCGCAGGTGACCCCCCTCCGTCTGTTCAATGGATTGCACCGGAGGATTCTCGATCCAATCTTCAGCAGGTAGAAAGCAGGTCTGGCTTGTTCAAACTGATCATCGAGGACGCCAGGCCCAGTGATGAGGGTACATACACGTGCCAAGCTAGAAACTTGGTGGGGACAGCGCGGGAAAGTGTTCAGTTGATAGGTAATTTAGCATTGTATAGTCTTCAAAGATTTTAAGTGAAGTCTGAAGGAAATTTTGGGTATAGTCAATAATCTCTCCAAAACAGTAACATGAGTTGATTCACGAAGCAACAGTTGCCGTTTAAACCAACACTATCCACCGGATAAATCACTATCCAGTGGTTGGCGTGGTTTGTTTTGTTATCACTTACCACTGGATAGCGATTTTACCGGTGGATAACGTTATCCATCCTTCGAACAACTGGGACCAGGGCTAAAAATAGAAGTACACCGTAAAGGTGCACAAAAGCATTCCTCGATAGAGATACATAATATATGGACAAAGAAAGAGAGGTTGCATAGACTAAATGTTTTATCGTGAAGAAAAAGGACTCCGAAATACTAATTTGGTGACATCAGAACAAAAAAATCATATGAACGTTAGAGCTTTTCGATGACTGCCGCAAAACTCGAACATTTCATCAACGGTCGCACTTTTCTCGATGGACGTATTGGAATTGCAGTTGTGTGTTGTTTAGTAGCAAGTACTCTGAATAGAATTATTATTGCCTCCAGCGTCTGAAGTTTCTTGTGTTTCGAATAATATAACTTCCCTCTCAACTGAGTTGAGGTGGTTTACTAGTACTTAAACTACCAGTTTAATGGCCATTTATGTCAGATCAAATTTGATTATTGTACAGTTACTGTGGCTCACGAAGCTCCAGAAGTTGCGGTGGTATCTATTTCTGAAACCGTCATCGAAGGTGAAAAGGCCGAGTTCCGCTGTAAAGCTTCTGGGATACCAACTCCGAGCATCGCCTGGGAGAGACTGGGCTCTGATCTACCCAACGGTGCGCTTGCTAGGAATGGTCTGCTGACTATTCCGTCTGCAGGCCCAGAAGACGCGGGCACATACACTTGCAAGGCTGTCAACAGCGAAGGAGAAGATAGTGCTAATGTCCAGTTAGAGGTCATAGGTAAGGAAATGTAACATGACGTAGAACAGATCCCAAGCGAATTAACACAAATCGTTCCATAAACAGTACTTTTGGATAGTTTCTAGTGCAACGCACAGTGGTTTCCGTGTTCCTTCTGAAAATATTTTAATACCTTGTCATGGATCGTTTGCATACTATGTGGCTCCGTTCTGTAGACTACCTTGCAGGCCCTCTAGTATTACTGAAGAGAGAGTTCCGTTATTTCTTTAACCCAAAAGTACAAGTCGAGAAGCAGAGAAACGGAAACTCAACTGAGATGCTGAGCTGGTCCCTTGACATACCGATCACGATAAATTCGTGGCACGCGGCTTTGACGAGATCACAACAGGGACGGAAACGTTTACTTTCATTCGTTTAACTGATAACATGATACGAAAGTCAACTGAGTCTATCAGATCCTAGTTTAATTGTTCGAATTCAACTCTTATTGAGATAAGTGAAGCCGGAGATGAAGTTTTCCTCTATATTGTCCATCATATTGACATCGCCTTTGTATTATATCCTAGTTCCTCCTCACGTCGAAGTTACTCCTTCCCAGCTCTCCGTGAATCATGGAAGTTCCTTTCGCCTCTTTTGCTTCGTTAGACCGCCACTTCCGGTCAAGTGGTCGAAAGTTAACGGAAGTATCCCAGCCGGAAGTAAGCAAGACAAGGAAACGTTGATTGTTGACCAGGTGGAAGTGGAACACACGGGCAAGTACCGCTGTCACGCTAGCAATGCCGCTGGCTCTAGTGAAAATTTTACAAGTGTCACAGTGTTTGGTAAGGATTTCCAATTTGATAATATTTAGATTAGGTAAACTTAAATATTCTATCCGTTCTAAACGCTGACACCACCATAAATAGATGGTCTGAGTTCCATCTTTCAGAAATCTTATCTCTCAGGCTTCTTTTGTGTTATTAAAAGATTATCTGAAGTCATAGAGAGGCAACAATATTTTATGTTCTAAGAACTCTGCTTTCGTGTTACGCTCATGGGTCCCAATATTGAACACTGCTTCTGTTTTTCATGTACTCTTCTTTCACCTTAACCTTAATTAAAAAGCGACAGCGATAGCAAAGTGTTTTACCTTACCTAAATCGGCAGGAAATTTACCTGATATCAACTCTGAATTGTAAAATAAGGTTGTAGATGATGCTGCAACACTTTGGTTCGAAATTCATCTCCTCTATCCAGTAATAGCAGTTTCAGTTAATTCAGGTATTTTTGTTAATAAAAGAAGTAAAACTAATAATAAGCAAAACTAAAATTTCCGTTTCTAGTTAATGAATCATTTATTTCGATTTTTTGTAGTTGCGCCGCAAGTAGCGGTCTCCCCGGTGGCCTTGGTAGCCTCGCCTGGGTCGAATGTTAGTTTCCAGTGCAATGCATCCGGCATACCAGAGCCTGTGATCACGTGGACAAAAGAAGGCATGATCCTTCCAAGAAGGCACCTGGTTGCAAACGATGTCTTAACTCTGACAGGCCTTGTGGGATTGGATGAAGGACGGTACCTATGCACGGCTACCAATGCGGCCGGATTTTCTCAGAAACCTGTCACACTCACAGTGGAAGGTTTGTGATTTCATTTTGTATTATTATTATTATTATTATTATTATTATTATTATTATTAATTTTATCATTATTATTATTTTTGGGGGGGGTTGAATGTCCTTGGAAGCGGCGTTTATCGAATATCTTTTTCTGAGGCCCGCACCAACGCGTTTTCGCAAGAAAAGGCATACTTTTTAGTGCGTTTTCGCCTATCGTCCACGCTAAAACGATCCAAAACACTGATGAATACGGAGGCTTTCGAAAACGGTTTCAAAACTGGAACCTTTTGAAAACGCTCCTTTTCTACTGTGCATATGTGAAAACGGTGCCGATAAAGCGTCATATGCTGTCGTTTCCATCAGCGTTTTCGGGCATTTTAGTGTGGACGATAGGCGAGACTTATCAAAAAGTGTGCGTTTTCTAATAAAAGCGAATTAGTGTGGACAGGTGAAACCAAGACAGAAACATTACTGTGGTCGAAAATATTTTGCTTCGTTTTCATCGAGAAAACTCCCCTGGGAGTGTTACAGCGGTCGAACTCGTGTCCCAGTTTCTCAGTGGTGTCCCTGTGGTATCTGTTTCGTCAAAGTTTTACCGAAGTCTATCTTGTTGATGCTGCAGTCGAATCACACTCTTGCTCCCGATCTTCGTAGTCCTATATATTCGTGACATTCGTGCAGCTGATATAAAGTGCGACTTTAGTAGAAAGTTTGTCTGGTGCTCAGAATGTGTCCAGCCTTTCCCTGAGCTAAATCAACATTCGCCTGTGTGCGGACGTCTTCTTCCTTTAACCTTCCTTCAATTCTACTTTTACTGGCACCACATCTAGATACGTTCGACGTATGAATAACAGGAAAACCTAGTTATAACAGCTTGTAGTAGTTAGGACAGTTTGGCGTTGCTAGCGTTCTTGGCCGAAGTACATTCCAGAATTTTTGTTTTTTGCTTTTCTTTTCAGATCTTCCCAGTGTGACAATAACTGGCGGAGCGTCTGTCAAAACTGTACCTGTCGGCGGGGCACTGACACTTGAATGTCGTGGGACTGGAATCCCGAAACCCGAAATTAAGTGGTCCCGTGTTGGTAGTCCCTTGCCAGAAGGAATAGTTGTCGAAGGTGGAGTTCTGGTTATCACCAACGCCCAGCATTCCCATGGCGGAGCGTATGCTTGCGATGCGACCAACAGAGTAGGCTCTGTGCAATCACAGGTTGCTATCTTCGTACAAGGTTCGTGTTGGTTTGGATAAAACTCGTTGTTAAACTAAGTAAGCCTCGTTCTAAGCCGTCATTTCAAAGCAGTCACACAACACTTTCAAAACCACCTATAAGCGCTGTAAAACAAACTTATTGACTATGTTCTCCCACGTTGCAACATTTCAAATCAAAACAGGCAAGTATTTTTGTCAACTACTTTTCTCAATCAATGACCTCAAAAAATTTTCAAATTCTGCGTTGAATATTCAGGACAGTGGCTGATCTAGATTAAGTTTATTCCCTTTGTTATTCTAAAACGACAACGAACTTTTCTCCTTGTTCTTAGAGGCTCCCAAAGTCACAGTTACACCACAAAAATCCCGTGTGAAGATAGGTGAGCCTGCAGAATTAACATGCATCGCCAGCGGTTCGCCTTCACCACAACTGACTTGGCGTAAATTGAACGGTTCACTTCCTGTCAATAGCACTGTACGTGTTGGAGTACTTAGGATAGCTAACGTGACCCAAGAGGATGCTGGTATTTATTTCTGCGAAGTTTCAAATGTCGAAGGAACAGCAGAAGGAAACGGAACTTTAGAAATTAAAGGTACCATGTTAAAAATTGAATTATGACATTGTCTAGAAAAGTTCCGAGTACAGAGCTTCTCTCCTATGCATCTCAAACTGTACCTTAAAGTTAAACGTCACTTTAACACTTTCACTTTGTTAATCTAAGCTATGACCGTAAATTGTCGAAACTCGATCTCTTAGGGTTAGATGAATGTAGCAAAATATCAGTACATCTCCAAGGATCTTCCACCTTTCGAAATTTCCTCCTTTCATATCGATCTCGACCCAACGCCCTCTCCAGAATCTCTTTTAGTTTTCACTCTCTATTAAAAGTATAGCGCTGTCACTCGCGAACACTCCGTAATGTTTGACGTCAGCAACATATCTGAAGTAAACCGCAGTTTCAATCAATTTTCTCAAATGTCACGGATTCTGCCCAAGTGGAGTATTGCCCTTTCCTTCCCCAACGACTGCAACTAATACTTATATCCTTTTCCTTTAGTAACAGTACCAAAGTTCACTCAGCAGCCGCTGTCCTATCTAAGCCTGCCAACATTGACTAAGGAGCCCCTTAATTTCACTGTCGAGATCGTGTTCGCACCAGAACTGGCAAATGGCCTCATATTATACAACGATCAGCTCACCAAAGGATCCGTGGGAGATTTTATATCGTTTGGAATGTCAGATGGATTTGCCGAGTTTAGGTACGTGACTTTATCAAGTAAACAGTCCCACTATAAGGAACCTCTCGTGACCTTCCAAATAAATTTGGCGTTAATTCAAATCGTTGTGGTAGTATTTTATCTGACTAGTAATTTGTTATTGTCGGCTACTTTTAAGTTTGTAAAAGAGATCAAAACAACTTAGAATTAAAGCGATTACCGAGAGACCCGTGAATGCGTAATCGAATTGGTACAAGAGTACACAACAGTTGAAAAGACGAGCCTAGGACAACTCTCATCGACTTTCATCAATTTGCAGTTAGAACAGTTGAATAAGTGAGCGGACGTTGACGTCATCTGCCCGTCAAACGAGCGAAAACCTTTCGTGGACTCTCCAAACATTTCAGCTTTTAAACTCGATGTAGCCTCATGCCCTGACAATCTTTTGGCTCGTCGCGCAGCAAGCCAAAAGAACGTGTGCGTAAGAGGCTTACGTCGACAAGGCCACCGAGAAATTCACTGTGATAACGCTTCCAGGCTTAGGATCTTGGCACTGTATCACAAATTCATTAAATGCTATTGAGCTTAATCTCGTTATATAATCAAGTCATAGAGTTAACCTTGTGTTTCAATATCTTGCAACAATCTAGATAAACAATTTACTACGGATGTTTCGTTAAATTACAGATTTAACCTCGGCTTCGAGCCTGCAATCATCAGAAGCCAGCAGCCACTGCGTCGGTTCGAGTGGCACACTGTTATTCTATCTCGTGACGAAAAAGTGGGAAATCTGACCGTTGATAGCAAGCCACCTGTGACAGGAACTTCTAAGGGGGGTAGTACTGGGCTGAACTTGAACCAAAATTTGTTCGTGGGAGGAGTCCCTGACTTTTCTTCCATAAGTTCTTCGTCAGGTTTCGAATCAGGGTTCGTTGGCTGTTTGAGCTACTTGGTTATTGATGGCAAAGTGGCTGAGCTGGGTAAGTTTTTCGTATTGTTTTCTATTTCAAACCCCTATTTAACTGTACTTAATTCTCATTCAAACGTCGTGTGATCATTATTTCTTGAGAAGCGTATTACCAAGTGCGTACGCAGATCGAGTGGTCGTCTTTCTGTTTAATGGATAACATTTTCCATGTTGCCGTGAGTCTCTTCAGAATTTGATCACGGATGACTTCAAAATGTGGTAAGAACAAAAAAAAAAAATGACACACGGGGCGATAGCCGGGTGTGTCGCTAATGTTCTGTGATCTGTTACTGAACAGACACGCGTCAACAGTTCAGAGCGCCAATAACAAAAAATCAATCATTAGCAGTCAAGTATTTTCTAAATATTTGACTAAGTGCTGTTCTAAAAGATGCTTGATAATTTTCTGGTAGTTTTATGGCTTTTTTAATTTTTTTCGCTCCAACTGTCGTGCCCTTCTTTTTGTTTTAAAACGTCTGTTGTATCTATGCGCTTAGTCGGCTTTTCTATTAGAATTGGGTATTGGAACCTTACGGTGCCTTCCCAGCCCGTGATCGTGGCATTTCTGGTAAATAGTTTCAGTCGTGTTATAAATATCTTATTTACTAAGCCGTACGCTGGGCCGAACTGGGAGGATATCGGTCCTTGGTCTTTTAGTACAAACTCGCTGCGCTCTGTCCGCACTGTCAAGACCTCTACCCGATCAGATTCTCTCGGTACAGCCTTTGTGCTGGGTTTTCAAGGTATATATTTGAACCCGGCTTTATCAAGTCATGTCGGTACATCTAAAAAAGCTTAATTCCATCACTGACTTTGTAGATATTGTACCCGCATTATTTTTACCTTACATAGGTGATCCCGTTAACCGAGTGGGCCTGGAAGATTGTGACGTTTGTGCAACTAGGCCTTGTAAGAACGGTGGTTCCTGCAGGGAAGTCAGTGGAGCCTGGGGCTTTGTCTGTATTTGCAGGCCTGGCTACTCGGGAAGAACTTGTCAAGGTGCTGGTCAGCGATGTTCTCCGGGAGTTTGCAATGAAGGGCGTTGCGAGAATGTTGGTGAAGACGGTTTTAAATGTATATGCCCTGCAGGCTATTCTGGAGAAAGGTGTGAAGAAGGTGTGTTGTAACTAAAAAGGAGCTCTAGAAGTTTTCTACTAAAATAGAGATTGCTACAGTTACTTAAATTCACGCAGCATCACAATAGTGTAATAGCGTAAACACACAAGTCCCGAACCAATTCTCTCTCTTCTGAATAATTTTTGAAAGAGGTTTAATCTTTTCCTCCCTTCTCGGTTTTTATCGCGATGAAAATATCAATAATTTTTGTTTGTTCGATGCATTGCTTGTCAAACGTTTAGCTTTGTTATTCATTACGATTTCTTTCCTCCCTTTCTTTAGGAACTCTCATAGACACGCCCATGTTCGAGGGTAATTCCTTCATGTCATTCCCCGGTATCGAAGGCGCTGTTCAACAATTAAAACTCGCCGTTAGATTTATGGTTCAAAGGTCAGGCAACATGCTCCTGCTGTACAATGGTCAGCGAAGTTACCCTAGACGAGGAGACTTTATCTCGCTAGCTATTATTGGCGGTAAAGTGGTGTTTATGTTTAATCTAGGGAGCGGCCCTGGTATTGTGCGAAGCTCCAGAAACATCACCGTAGGAATGTGGCACACTGTTTTAGTGGAACGTGTTCTTGACTGGAGCTCGCTTACATTCGATAGCGATCCACCTGTCTCAGACTACTCGCCGTGCTGCTTAAAAGGATTGAACCTCGCTTTAGACTTGTTCATAGGCGGCGTGGAAAACTTCACAGCGATAGATACTCGCAAAGTTGGCGTTGACACTGGACTGGTCGGCTGTATATCTGCCGTGTCTGTAGACGACAGAGAGATTAACTTGATCAAGTCTAACCTCAAATTGCGTGACATCAAACAGTGTACAGAATGCCTGTTACCTTGTGAAATAAAACCGTGTCTAAACAATGCCACTTGCATACCGATAGGGAAAACCGCTTATGTTTGTTCTTGCGCACAAGGGTACACAGGACGACATTGCGAGTTCACTATGGTCGGACCGGAAAAGAACAAGACTTGTCTGAATAGTGGAATAGCTTTCCCTAGCTCTGATAGGATATGTGCGTGCCGGTTAGGATATAGAGGAGAGCGTTGCGAGAGTTGTAAGTATTCTTGTACAGTAGTCTAAGACTACTGGTGCGTTTGTATTCAGAGATACATCAAGGTGCACCACATGTGTTGGATCACTAAGGTGGGAGAAATAACAACTTTCTCCCATTATCGACTATGCTTTACGGAGTGATATCGAGTTCCTAGTAGAACGAAACAGCTAGGTTAGGCTTGTTCTAAGGTATTCTTTCGTCGGGCATTCATATTACATTTCGTCGCATTATTTCGTGGGGTGGGGGTGGGGTTGGGAGGGTCTTCTTATGTAGCTGGTTAAATAAATCGCCTATGCAGATCACACCTTGATTCTGCTCAAGGCAGGTGTCTCAATAATATGGCGTTTTGCAGTTTCTTTTGTCCCTTAAGAAAAAAAAAACGAAGATGTCGTTTATTCTAGAGTTTGGTAGAGATTAATCTCCGTAAGATAAGAATGGTAATACTGCAATGCTGATCTAGGTTGAGGAAAGTAAATCTGAGCACCGAAGTGGTCGTGCTTACAGTTTTCCATGTATTTATCTCTTAGTTTGATTGGTAATTAAGGTAAATCTTTTTTTAAATAATCTAACGCTTGAACAATCTGAATTATTCTTGTTCTATGCTCGCAACTATTGTTTCCAACTATTTCCAAGATTGTTTCCTGTGCTAACTTCACCTTCACCTGTCCCCTGGCGCCAAGTTGGCACATAGGGCCTGGAAGGTTTCTGTAATCATTCATTTTTGTACAAGGTTAGGTGATTAGCCTAACGCCCAACCCCTAACCTGGAGGACCAGGGGCTGTCCTATGTCAGGGCTCTATCCCTCGACCAATCCGGCACGGTTGAACCCACCAGGGACTAAGTCCCCACCGCCATAGCTCTTGGGGTCACTGAGACACGCAAGCTCTACCACCACGACAAGGTGACAAGCCCACTTACTGCTAACTTACTATATCTTTTTCGTCGTAGTTGTTCAACTTGGCAACAGCGCTTCCTTCAGTGGAGATGGTTACTTACAGTTCCCAGGAACTCTGATGCGAGGGCCAAGGTATGACCACAAAACGCTAACTCGACCTTCCCAATTACGGTTCAAATTCATTGCGTGTTTAGAGTGGCTTACTCTGAACGTTTTTTCATTAATCAACTGATCAACCTCGTGTAATGTTCTCCAAATCATTTAGAAACCTTTACTTTGTCGAACAGATCAGGAAATTGAACGCTTTAGATCTTTGATATATGTATTTTGTGTGTTTTCAGGGTAGTAAAGCCAGATTATATGTCACTCGAAATAAAAACCGACGCACCAAATGGAGTAATTTTATGGCAAGGCCAGGTTAGCGATTTTGTTTTCGCTGTGGTATTTTAAAACACTTTATGTTTGAAAATAGAGGGTTTTTGGAATCGCGTTATGAAAAGTTGCATTGCTGCCCAGTTAGAGTCTTTCGGGATATGAGAAAACTGATCCCTAGAAATGGTGAAATGCGGTCAGTGCGAACCTTGAAAGACCGTGGACGTTACGATATCGTTTTTTACCTTGATGTTATTATATCGAGCTTGACTGAGAGGCAATGTACAAAGACGCGATAAACGTTAATCACTGTCTTTAAGACGTTAACCAGCTCAGATTTCTACTTTCTTTGTAGAGAAGAGACTACTTCGCAATCGGTTTAAGAGAGGGATTCTTGGAGTTCAGGTCAGTTTTGATAGATGCCAGGTTGTCGATCTTTTATATTCTTTTTTATTTGGCGCGCGCAATATGTGTCTCTTCAGGTAACATAGAAAAACTTTACATTCAATGCTTGCTGCTTTTTGTTCCGAAAGGCGCTGATGTTTTATTTCGCTTCGTAGATTTGAGCTGGGCTCGGGTCCCGCTGTTCTCCTCTCCTCGTTACCAGTCAACGACGGTCAGTGGCATACTGTTGAAGTGTTCAGGTAAGGAACTGCACATCTGAATTAAAAGAACAAAGAATGGCGAATCTGTTAGTTATGTTCCTCGTATCGTGACGGAACGCCTCAAATAAATACTCTAACGAGAAAAGGAAAACATATATCTCGTATTAACTATTTTCACTGTCGAAGTTTATTGTAGGTATCACCTTTTATCATTTTGCTCTATGTGTTTTTTTGGGTGAACGTTCTTTCCCTGGATCTGGACAAAAATGAAAACTTGAATCGTGCTGCAGGATAGTTTCTCCAGGAAAAAAGAAACAAAAACAAAAAAACAAAACAAAACACGTTTGTCTCTCTATCTCTTTATTCCATTGTCAGGAGTTACAAAGAAGGTTCTCTCAAGGTGGATGATACAGAGCCTGTTAACGGCACATCAGCTGACGGAAGCCTCGGATTGAACGTGAAGGGACCCATACTTATAGGTGAATACGGGAAAGCGGCACTTAAAAGTACAACTTAACTTACGATACTTGTGTTTCTTCACGACCTCAATTTGTCTCGGCCATTAGAATTGGAACTCGCTCTGGGTTGCCATGTCGAACAGTGACCTTGTACAGCACGACGCCTTCTCTTTTAAAAGCCATCCCGAAAAGAACAACAAAGTTTTATGTTTGTTTACCTTAAGTAAAAGTTTTTTTCTTGTAGAAACTACGCACATTAAGAGAGTACTCAATTCAAGGTTAAGGGTTTCTTAGCGATCATTTGCAAAAAGGGTCACTTTCATTCTGCACACGTTTCCTTTTGCTGCTTTTTGTTCCTGCTGTTTTTTTCCTTTTTAAAATCATTAAAGAAAAGTAATTATTATTATTATTATTTTTTTGACTGTTTATCAACAGGAGGAGGCGACAACATTGTGGAAATGACTTACAGAAAGTTTGATACTGGTTTTACCGGCTGTGTAAGAAGAATTTACTTCAAGAGCAGAAGAATTAATCTCCAAGCTGATGCAAGTCTTGGTTGGAACGTGCTCCCGTGTGACATCAAGATCGCAGAAACATGACGTGGTATTGAAAAAAATTAAAAAACACGCTGTCTGGTTGGATGTGCGATGTGCAACTGAGTCAATCGTGTTTGGAGACATCATTGCTTTGAAGAGAGCCGATAAATTGGTTCGTGAGAAACGATGAGTAAAACGTTTGTATGTCTGCACGCATCTGAACTTCCAAGTTACGGGAACAAGTCGTAATTATCACACTTATCACTGCAACGTCTTCAATCTCTTGTACTGGCTACTCATAAGAAAACATTTTACCGTTTTGCCACAACAGTTTGCGATGTATTTCCGATGTCTATCCTCCAATCAACAAGTAAACCGCTTGGAAAGTCGTGACGTCACTTTGTATAAGGTTACGTCACTGGGTCAGGATACCTCATGTAACACATATCCCGACAACCTGCTGTGTTAACGACGAGGAGTACACATGGTTATTTGATTCAAACTGCTGAGCCAATTTGGTGATGGGCTGTCAATCTGAACCTTCCAACTTCGTCGAATGCCCTGGTCGCTGAATAACGCTAATCTGGAATCAGAAGAGGCCATGTTTACTACAGTTAGAACTGCGAGTCAAAGTCAAACCCGCCTAACATCTAGAGACAAATGTATGAAACTATTACTGATCGTTATTGATAACTGGGTAACTTTCACCGGTGCTTACCATAAAACCAGTAGCCTACGTGGTCGGGGTTTAAAGTGGAGGGAGAGGGGGAAACTAGCGTGAGGCGCGATCGGGGGAGGTCGGGGGAGGGACAGGGAAAGTTTCTGTCCCTTCACCACGGTCGCGCTTTGCGCTTCTAGTTTTCCCCACTTCCCCCCAAAAAAATAGAACAGCATCTTCCGGCAATTATTTATGGACTTCGTTTTTAGGTGTTCCTTTAATTCCGGTTGGTATCTAAGCATCGGAAAATTCAGTATCATTTGTTTATCCCCATGCCCCCCTCTCCTCACAAAAAACGATAGCCGGCAACTGAGTTAGAAATGGTAAGCACCATCTCTTTCGGTTATGTATTTTGCTGATTTCGAAAAACGGTAACCATATCGTATAAACCAATCATTTTCAGCGCTAAGCACGTAACTTAATCCCGTGAATAAAGCTTAATTTAGGCAGTATTCCTACATACGAAATGTTTTGTTGCCGAAGATTAGATGTAACTGAATCGTATATTCTTATCCATTCCCGAGTAATTTCCTTGTGGATTTGAGTTTCAGAGCACGCAAGTAGGTAAACACGACCAGTCCATTTAATTAACTACTTCGCGTGAAGCCATATAGCGTAATATAACAGGACATGTTAATGTTTATTTGTCTTCTAGGAAGATATCAGTTTATATTCTGCTGACTTTGTCGGACTGCTTATTCTGTAAAAAGCAAAGTGTTGCCTTTCATATTTATATTGGCTTCTTCGTTAACAGAAAAGTCTAACTATGTAATTTGCTAAGTTTATTTTGTGTTCGATAACTTGTACACATTATAGTCTCGATATGAGACATCGAAGTATATGTAACGCAAGAAAACCTCTCGGAAAGTGACCGATCTACGCAGTAGTCATATTTTAGTAACTGGCTCGTGATTTTGCCAGAAATAAAAGCCAAATGTACCTTTAAGCATGTGAAAACGAGGATCGATTACGTCTTGTCTAGACACCCCATGTGTGTGTGTGGGGTGAAGGGAGAACACCCAGCCCTTGTAAGCCCACGGACTCGGAGTGTATTGCTTGTGCATTTAACAAAAGTATAAAGCATTCAATCCCAGCCTGCTATAGCCGCTGCTGTCTGCTGTGAGAAACGCACTACTCGAGGGTGAAACAAATTTGCACAAAAGACTGGGGAGTTATTCTGAGATACAGTCGAACCTCTCTACAACGGCCACCCTGGGGACAGATGTCAGTGGCCGTTATGGGGAGGTAGGGGTGTAATATGACACCTGTTGTTTTACTTTAATCGGTGGGGGAAGGTACAACATTTTTATATTTTAAAAAATGCTGTTTGTAACATAGAAATACCTAACACAAGCAAAATAAACAATAAAACAGAAACCAAACAGAAACGGAGACCAACGACGCGCGGTACGGATCAAGTTTCGTGACTTTTTACAATAGAACACTGGGTTTGGCAAACACCATTCGTCAGTCGTCCATTAACTGGCCGTTGTGGAGAGGTTGTTTTGGTAGTTTGGGACGCGCTTTAGTGGGCGTTACTTACGTTGTGGAGAGGTGGCCGATGTCGAGAGGTTAAAATAAGAGTGAATGCATAGACCTTCCGCCGGGACGAAAAAAAGTGGCCTTTGTAGAGAGGTGGGCGTTTTGGGAGGTGGCCGTTAGTGGAGGTTTGACTTTATTTCATTTTGGCTTCATACAACAGTTTGTTATTAGATGCTCCTCTTAGCTCGTGTCTATATAACGTCCCGAGCCCTTAGTCAGATTCCACCATTTTTTTGTTCTGGTGGGGTCCAGGCCAAATTGAACCAAACTATAGAAATCTATTGATTGATTTTCTGGGCGTTTATTGGACTGCATAGAAATTGTAATGGAAAGCAAACGATAGAAAATTTTACTTTCACCTAATAGTTGTTCAAATCGATTGTAATTATTGTAGGTTCGACTACCATGAGCATCACAATGCTGCGGTACTGTCACTTTTACAGTTCTTCAGTTAAGAAGATGGATCAATCCCCAGGGACTCCCCTTGTCCCCAGTCTTCGTGGGTGTTTGGTGGACAACAGATTACCATCTCTTCTAAGTCAATTTATCTCATTGATAATAGGTGTACATTGGAGCCAGGGAAGAGAGCCTTTCGTCGCCCATGGGTTATACATAATAAGCGACATTACTTTATAAAAAACTTTATTTGCATAAATTATGTACAAATATCTACATGCAAATAGGATGCCAGCAAGGAAGTACTTAATCCTCATATAAAGCTGATCCCTTAATTCATATAGGGTAAATCCTCGAATTAGCGCCCCCTTCGAATAAGCGCCCTTCCTGTCGGCCAAAATTTAAAATAAGTGTCCCCCTCCCCCTATCTTGTGTAGCATTAGATTTTCACATTGTTTCAGTTTGTGAACACGTTAAGTTAAGTACAAACGGTGCCGCGATTTAAACTTAGGAATCAGCTTGTTATGTCGATAAACAGCTCATGTTGTTGTTTACGCGCAGTTGATGTATTAAAAAATGATTATGTCAGGTCATGATTTGGGAAAAATTAAATAAGCCCCCCACCCTTCGAATGATCGCCCCCGTCTATTCTTAACCAAAATTGTATGAATTCCGTCATCGAGCCAAATTTTGCTCTTTAGAGGCTAAGAATGGTCAATTGGACAGAATTATGGACAAAAAGAAAGTTTTGGAGAAAATTTGTGCTTTTCTTTAAATTTGAAATAAGTGCCCCGTGTGCTAATTCGAGGATTTACGGTATGTAAACTACATTTACAACTCTAAAGAATTCTTTGACAAATTCAGTAAATAAATCTATTAATAATAAAATAGATATAAAATTCTATAACATAAATAATAATGTACACGAAAAAATTACTCGATTCTGATTGGCTGAGAGCAGTGCAGTTCAGGTCTAACACCAGTGCAAAAAGTGTAACATCAGTGCAAATTACACATCGTAATTCTGGATTTCGATTGGCTGAAAGACAATATAAATTTTCTAAGCCAATGATATAACGTAAAATGATAGCGAAAATTTTGTGCGGAAACTTTGAAAGAAGTTTTCTCTAGTGAAAAAATGGCTTCAAGAAAGATTTTCCGGCACTTCCTCCGCGCGAATTTTTCCATGTTTATATTATTAATAAGTAATCATACGGTTTTTCTCGTTCAATTTGGAATCAATTTGCACTTGTGAACTTTTCAAAAGCTGAAATTGCACTCGCCGAGGCGGCTCGTGCAATTTCAGCTTTTTGAAAAACTCACTCGTGCAAATTAATTCCGAATTGAACGAGAAAAACCGTATGATTACCTATACTAATATTCGTATAACGTGTTAACTTAGATTACGCCAGGATTACGCGCTATATCTCGTTGTAAAACTTATGTAGTTAAGGTGGATCTGGATCTCACTAGGGCGTGGTCCCAGACTACCCTGTCAGTGTCTGTTGATTTTACAGATCCATTCATCGAGAGACTAGCAAGATTCGGCTGTAGTCCATTTTTTTCTGACCCATCCACGCGTCAAAGTTACGAGGTGTCCCTATCAGTAGGAGGATCTCTCTATGCTAGATTATTTTAGACACGTTAAGTACATGTAAAGTTAATTCGTTCATTGCTTCATTCATGCTTTGTTTTCTGTTGTTTATTTCCTTACCTGATCCAGAAATCCTGGGCTTGCAGTCTTACAAGAGCTTTACAAAATATGCCTCGAATCACTTATCCCCAAACGGATCACTTCCCTATCCCGTCCCCCCGCGGCAACGTTTAGTACAAGGCGATGAGACTGGGAACGAATGATTTCCTCGGGTGCCACGTGGGTCACAAGAGATTTGTTAGTTAACACTCCGACGATATTGAGGGGTTCTGAGGGCGCCGAAACAGCTGAGGTACGTGGAAATCAGTACTTTCTGTCGTATTTATGAGAGTGCAATGAATAAATACATACAGAAGGAGTCGGTTAAGGCCTTGGACAATATATTTTTTCACAGGAAACAGAGTCCTCGTCGAATGGGCTTCCAGAAATTAACACTTTCGTTTCGAATTCAAACGAGCCGTCGCGCCATAAACAGCTGAGGTAGGTACAGTTTTGATACTGCTTTCTGTCGCTGTTATGAAAGGGCAACAAAGAAATACACAAATAACTAAGTAGGAGTCGTTTAAGACCTTAGACGATAATTTTTTCACAGGGAACAGGTTTTCGTCGAATTGGCTTCCAGAAGAGAACACGTTCGTGGCGAACTCACAAGTAGCCGCGCCACAGATAAGCTCACTTGACTTTCCTCTCATATTTACTCGAAGTTGTATGAGGCAACAGAAAATGACTGTTAGCTGTCGATTTCCTTTCGTTAGGAGTCGAAAATAGGACGCTACGTCAAGGCTCGTCTACGTTA